GGAAGCCTCCTTAAGGTTATGCATGCCTTTTTTTGAAAAAAAAAAAAAAAACAGGCCCGTTTTCCCGAAAAACAGACCATTTTTTGCTCATTTGGGGGGGCACTCCCCAGAAGCACTCTACAAGCCTCCTAAAGGCTATTCATGCTCTTTTTTGAAAAAAAACAGGCCCGTTTTCCCGAAAAACAGACCATTTTTTGCTCATTTGGGGGGGCACTCCCCAGAAGCACTCTACAAGCCTCCTAAAGGCTATTCATGCTCTTTTTTGAAAAAAAACAGGCCCGTTTTCCCGAAAAACGGCCCATTTTTAGGAGGTCTGCAGAATGCAAAAACTTCTTCCCTCAACTACCACATATGCTTGTGGATAAGCCCATCTGCCGATAAGCTGACACTCAAATGTTAAACCAAAATACCACAAAAAGTATACCTCTTGTGGATAAGCCAATCCTTGACATTTTATGTATAATTGGTTTATCTGTGGTGGTATATTTTTCATAGGATTTTGATTAGAAATTCAAGTGTTGGCTTATCTGTAATATATGGATACCATGCTGCATATACTCACAGATAAACTCATCTCCAGATAAACCGAACTCAGTTTTGGGGAGAAGTTTTGAAACCTAAAACCTACTTTTCATAGGTTGTACTGGTTGACAAACTAGGGTGCATGTATGTATAATTATGTACATGCACGTGTTTGCATGTATCTCTGTGTGTGCGTGCATACATATAAGTTAAATTATGCAAAGAATTCTACAAGCATATTTTATCATTCTTTTTAAATTGTTAAAGTAGCTGGACCTTCTCTGAAGCTTTAGACGACCTTAAAACACCTCTTTCAACTGCTTTGCACAATCCTATTATGATGTGTTAATGTACATGCATATGTATGTGTCATTCATATATATACAATATAACCATGTTTCCCTGAAAATAAGACTGGGTCATATTAATTTTTTCTCTCACAAATGCATTAGGGCTTATCTTCCAGTTGTCTTATTTTCGGGAAAATAGTGTGTATACACATATATACCAAATACCACATAGATCTGTATCACATTTGAATATCAGAGGAAAATCACTTACCTTTTATATAACACAGCGAAGGGCTTTTTCAGGGCATACTATAAGAAAAGAACACTTTAGTTTAGAAGTCACATTTAACAATGCGGATCTTCAAATGTTTCAAATAAAAAGGAAATATATTTGTTTACATCAATTTAGAACAAATAAAAGTCTAGATTAATGAGTGTCTGAAGGACTTCACTAAGATCACTAGCAGGTTTCCAGTAATGGGTCTACCAAATAACTCTGCTAATCCCTTGCAGATAGCAACACTGAAGCACAAATACTGTCATCTCACTACAAAGGTTTCATCTGAATGAGATCAATTACATTCTCTCACAATGGTGATGGAACAGCAACATTATATTAACATCTGGTATCCTTCGTTGTTGTTCGCTACTCATATCCTTACAGTTTTATTAAAACAGATAACACTTTGCTACTGGAAGTCACTTTCACACTATCCTTGCCAAATTGGGGAGACCTTCTGATAAGAGTAAAAAATGATGTCAGCTTCATGGAAGGTATCCTCCTCTGGAATGTTTTAAAACTATTTTCCTTTTCCTTTCCTTTTTTCTTACCTACTTTTCTTCCTCCAGCTCTAACACTAGGATCTGCTTATAATGGGAGCCCTTAAAGACAAGTGTACTTGAAGAATTATTTACAGTAGTGGTTCTCAACCTGTGGTATGCGGATCCCTGGGGAGGCGATGTTATCACAGGGAGTCCATGGAGGCTTGAAGAAATGTTAACCGTTTTAAATCTTGACCCTTGGGGGTCTGGGGCCACAAAAGATATGTAAAGGGAGGCGGTGGTGAAAAAAATGTTAAGAACCACTGGTTTACATTGTATATTTTCTGGATCCAATTCCCAAAGAAGTGCCATTACTTTTGCAGAAATTTCTAAACATACTTACAATATTTTTGAGTACTTCTGCTACTGTTAAATTTGCATTTCCTCCTTTTATGAGCATTGCATTTTTGGTGTTTTCTGTCAGTTTAGGCTCTCTTTTTTCAAGAAATCTTTTGGCTCTCTTTGTTTTAGGCTTTCTGCCATGAAAAAAAACAAACGAACAAATAACAAATGAAGTTTCACAAAATATTATTTTATTTAGCACTCCTAAATGCTGCCCATCATAAAATCGTAACATGACAATTTATAAAAAATATAGACATGATATAACCAGTAGCAGAACTGAATCTATGGATGAAAAGGAAAAATGATATCCAATGCATCCGAGAAAGACTACCTGCCTCTCAACTCACTGAAGTGAGGCATCCAGAAGTCTAAAAGATTGACCGTTGTCTTACCTGAACGGTCCTTCTATGGGTGCTGCAAAGGGAATCCAATCATGGGTTAACTTAGCC